GTTACGGGATCATTCAGTATTTGCATTTTCATATTTGTCATCTTTCCAATTCACACAGGAGACGGAAAATAAAATCTGACATTTCAAGAATCATGTATATGGAAGATATTGAAGATGTAAATATGATTAAATTAAACAAGGATAATCGTCAGTTAAGATTAAGGAACATGCATCCTCTCCCCAAAACTCTGTTCAATATTTTACGTCGATGCTAGGTTTATAGGAAAGGGCTGAAATTCGAAGATAACGATCAGTGATAATGCTCAAGTGTCTATTAGAGAGTACACACTGCAAGCAAATAGGATATCAAATAATCTAGTTGAGTATTTGTGTACTGTTTTATACCCATTGTGCACTTGAGAGGGTACAGCAGAGGGTACAACAGACGTATGTGTAGAAGTACCTTCTTTATAGTTTTCTTCAAGGTAAATAATGACCTTGAACTCGCCATCTGAAAACAAAATGGAAATGATAAATTAATTTTTAACTACAATAGACAAAAACACTGGTTTGTACATTTTGAATTTCTGTCAATTACAAAGCAATTAAAATAAATTCATACCAGATTCCTTGCATCAATCATTGAAAGACTAATTACAAGAAGCGTATTCTGTAATTGAAGCTCCTCTATACACTAAGCGCTTAGTTGGCACAGGGAATTCTGAATAGAATTAAGAATTATATTTTTATTAAATGCATACATACATGCATGAAAATGAAATGAATACATGCATGCTTTTATTCATGCACGATAATTATAGTTTAGTTTGTACCTTCCACATCACTTGACCAGCTGTCTTCAATCATATATTTTTGTCCTGGTGTCAATTCCTCAAAAGATGAACTAATCTCATTCAGTTTTACAGGACTCTTACAAAACTGGCAATGTTTTTGATGGAAAGCACAGTCTTGAAACAAAAATGTAATTATACATTGTTCTTTATTACGTCATTTGTTTGGGGAAAAGGAATTGGTTGCATATGATTTTGATTTACCTGTCAGTGAACATGTTTCATTTTCTTCTATTCTTAGACTTTGCAAAGTTATGACACCTACAAAATATACATAAGAAAAGTAAAACTTAAAGTTTTGCACATATTCTACTCCGTTTATCATTAAAATTTGGTTCTTGAATTTAACGTTTATTGCTTTTATTTTTTATATAAAGAATATCGAGAAAATGTTTCTTAACTTCTTTTATAAATACAAAAATGGCGAACAAGGCCCCTAAATTGTACATGTACATGTGTATCAGTATGATAATGAAAACTAAGTAATTTTTCAAATCTTTGTTCTATTGTCAAATTTAGGCAAATGGATAAAATCAAATCGTAACCAGAGATATCATTTGTATTTTACTTTTTAAAGCAAGGTAAATGAATTTCATTACCCCACGTCAGCTCATATTTGGCTTTTCCCAGCCATGTATTATTCTCTACAACGTCATCCTCAGTCGACATTCGCTGATCGTTGTTTGCACAGATTTTGAAGGACTTAATCCATGTCGTATCTATTGAGAGTGCGAACCCTAATAAATAGCTGAGAAAAAGCAACAAAAAATTTTCAGTTTTAGGAATTAGGAACTATTTTGTAATACTCTCAACTATTTACAGTAAACATGGTCAACCATGCTTAAAACGAAGTTAAAGGAACAGAGGATTTTTCTTTGCTAAGAACGTTATTCGTAAAATATGTTAATTAAGCTAACAATTTTAATCTAAAGTCGAGGGGAATAAAAATCACTTCGCTGTAAGTATAAGATTAATTAACCGTGTTCACTATAAAGATGTTTTATTGTATTTTCATATACAAATAATCAATCATCTTCGAACATTTATTTCATAAATAGTGAACAAACGGGTTGCAATATAAATGTTATGATCAAACATGATATTAACATGTCTTCATCTTTTGATTTTATTTTAATTGTCAGCATCACATTGTAGAAAGGACATATGCCAATAATAAATATTATCGCAATACATTAAATTACTTTAGTATGTGTTGCGAAATGTCAGCATGATCTAAAATATTCTTACTGATACCACACCCAATTTTATCTCAATAATAAGGTTGTTGTAGTCCTTTAAATTATTATTTACTATTTGATTAAAGCATGTATATGATTATGACGAGTATTCATATGAAACACACTGAAGGAAATCATCGAACAAATGAACTTACAGATAATAATACTATCTACGTTTCGAACAACGCAAAGCTTATATGTAAGACTCTAAAGTGCAATGGTGACGCCAAAGTCCGATGGTCTCGACAAACCCCTATGGCTCGATGTCTTTACGGACGCCAAGGAGTGATATTCACACCAAAGTCAATAGCTCGTTTCCAATGAGACACATTGCGCTAACATACAATGGTTTGATACGCCAAAGCCCGATGGTACGGACCGGACGGAGGAACAATCAATGTTTATGACGTCACAATAGTCCGACGCCATGTCATTGTCCTGCATTCAAAATCCAATGAATCAGTATTGTTTTTTGTTTTGAACATATTTTATTGTCAACATGTCAAAGGAATTGTACACAAGTTCCAAAAACTTAGATATTCCTCTCCCATACATAAAATAACTAGAGATATGAACTACGGTTAGTCCTTGCACACCACTCGATTGATAAGGTTTAGTCCTTGAACACTATTGGATGGATAATGTGTTTGTTCGAACCCACCCGAGAGATTTTTAGGTTGGCTTAGTCCTCAAATGATTTGGATTTGTCCAGCACCCGCCCAAGATATTTAGGTTAAAGTTACTGAGAATTACGCTATTTCGACTAATAAAGGTTTGTCTTGTGCCTACATTCAAAAGATGATGGTTAATTTTTGCATTTAATATTTTTTGAATTTATTTTAAGCAATCGGGCCTTGGCATGGCGCGGCATCGCAATTTTGCGCAGTAGTACTATGACATCATAAACGTTAATTGTTTTCCGAACCATCGGATTTTTGCGTGTCAAACCACTGGAGCTTGGCGCAGACCATTGTACTTTGGCGTAACCATCGGACTTTGGTGTCCTACATACATTAAAGAAGTATTTACAAACCTGGCAATTAGAAAATTACGTATTTCCATTTTTCCATTGAAAATTCAATCATCTATTCTTTATTCAATATCTCCTCATTTATGCAAAATTCTGTTCGAGTACAAATCATAGTTCTCACTCAATGTTATTTCCTGTTCTGTATGACATTTTCCAAAAATACACTTACGCCTAACGATTTGAATAAAAGAAGGATATGGAGATAACGAACAGTATTCATTATCAAAGTCCATAAAAAATACAAAATAGGTGCAGAGCAAACACGGACCTCAGAAACATCTGAGGTGGGATCACCTGCCATGGAGAAGTGAGCATCCCCTGCTGACCGGTCAAACCCGCCGTGTGCTCCTTATCGTAATCGGGATATAACAGAAAATCCGTTGTCAATTCAGTTTATAAATAATGGACTAATAAGTAGTATGAAAAACGTCAGTCAGCATTTGATTAAATGATAATCTGTATTCGCTGACAAGGTCATTTTATCGACCATAAAACTTACAAAATATTAACTTTTACTTTCCAGCATGGATCTGGGTGACTTAATGGCTTAAGTTGACATAATATAAGGTTGATACAGACATAATATACTTTTATATGCTTTGCTATAATTTGCTCATACTTAGACACTTTACCATAAATTTATTTGATGGTGAATTTTGCTTCATTATGACATACATATTTGTATTTTACTGCACTCTACGAAGTGGCATTTTACTACACTGTATTGATATTTCATCAAATCAATCTACTTTTAAAAACATTGACTAAGTGAACTACCTGAAGACGATATTCTTACTTAAAATACTATACGCCATACATTGTACATACTCGTACAACAATATATCTACATTATCCATACACTCAAACACTGTCTGATACTTTTACTTTTATCGTATACACATTACATGAGGAAACCTATTACGAATAAAAATTTACAAGAAAGTTCTGAACAAAGTTCTGTTTCCATCTCAGGTACTTGCAGGAAGACTTTTCTTCACCACACTCATCGATTGATTCATTAATCTGTTCTGAATCTATAACTGACATAATACATTTTACTGTCGGTTCACAAAGTTTCACATAACTTAATTTAAAATAAAATAACTTAAGGTAGCATCTATGTCGGAAAGGTCTTTGTCACAAGATGTTCAAACTTTTAAAAATGATAAATTAGGAAATCGTCTTAACAAGATTGACAGGGAAAAGAAAGGAAAATCATAATTAAAGTGAAAAAGAGATCGAAGAATAATAGCTAAAAACCTTAAAAATAGATTATGTTCCCAAGATTTGATAGAAAACAATGGCAAATAAAGATTTTGATTACTGTATAGCAGGTTAAAATCGCGGTCGGAAAAGATCGCGATTTGTTCAATTTCCAGCAGATCGCGGTCGTTTGAATTCGCGGAAAGGTAAAAAAAAATACATTTTTTACACAGTACTTACAAGCATGTTTCTTTACGTATATATTATGTGAACTGTTATTTACAGTCTCTATCTTACGAAAGTCTGTTCATGTATATCGCGCATATCAGTCAGGAAAGGCAAGTCTATGTATTGTGTCAATTTTGAGCCCGATTGAATAATAACGAAAGACCGGACTGATCCCAATTTGAAGTCAAAATAATGTTACGCATTCAGAATTTTTTTTTTGTTTCCGAATAAATAAAATAAATAAATAAAAAGAAAATATATAGAGTAGTCAAATTGTTGAACTTTTAATCATATAATTGAAATAAATTAATTGTCTTTACCCTGTTTACTACGCATGTGCCTTGATTAAAGCTAATGACTGAGTGATTCGCACGGGTGAAATTATACAAGCTTGTTTTGTTAGATAATTATATTGCACGTCTACTAGATGGCAAAATTCCCGTAATCGTTAGCTATAGAAATTAATTTAACAATTTATAAGCTTTAAAAACACCAACAACTACGTGTTTGTAATTGATCCATACAGTGATACACTCGCATAATTATAAAGACTGTCTACATCTAATCACAGATGATGATAAAATTTCAGTTTATCCTTATAAATCTTTTCAAGAATTTATTCACTGTATGTTGAATTCGCGGAATTTGTTTTTCCGCGAATATAGCGAATATTAACTCCGCGAGTTATTTTCCTGCTGTACAGTATACTAAAATTATAGATTTCTTTAAAAAATAATAATACGGAATCAGCACAATATCAAGAATATTTGTATGACTTTGTTGCTGATAAAATTTAAATTATTTACGTTTTTCTACTACGCGTCAATACACCAGGATGTTAAACATCTAATTGACATTTTTATTCACAGTATTTTTTTTACATTTCTTTTCGTATTATTTCTTGTACTAATCTGAATTGAAAAATCCAAAAATAATTACAAAACAAGAGGCCCATGGGCCACATCGCTCACCTGAGCACTAAGGGTAGGAAAAAGTAGAAAATGGCTTTTTATTGTAAAGTTTAAATCCAAAAGTAGTCCCATGACCAATCATGGATATGCTATTTTTTAAAAAAATGATTTTTAAAGAATTTTCCTCTGTATATCTTTAAAAACTCTGGTCGGCCATTTTGGCCCCGCCCTACCCCTGGGGGTCATGATTTGAACAAATTTGAATCTGCACTACTTGAACATGCTTCCATATAAATATGATGAATTATGGCTTTGTCATTCTTGAGAAGAAGATGTTTAAAGAATTTTCCCATATATTTCTATGTAAAACTTTGGTTGGCCATTTTGGCCCCGCCCTTCCCCCGGGGGGTCATGATTTGAACAAACTTGAATCTACACTACCTGACCATGCTTCCATATAAATATGATGAATTATGGCTTTGTCATTCTTGATAAGAAGATTTTTAAAGAATTTTCCTATATATTTCTATGTAAAACTTTGGTCGGCCATTTTGGCCCCGCCCTATCCCCGGGGATTCATGATTTGAACAAACTTGAATCTACACTACCTGAGCATGCTTCCATATAAATATGATGAATTATGGCTTTGTCATTCTTGATAAGAAGATTTTTAAAGAATTTTCCCATATATTTCTATGTAAAACTTTGGTCGGGCCATTTTGGCCCCGCCCTACCCCCGGGGGGGGGGGTCATGATTTGAAGAAACTTGAATCTACACTACCTGAGCATGCTTCCATATAAATATGATGAATTATGGCTTAATGTCATTCTTGAGAAGATTTTAAAGAATTTTCCTAAATATTTCTATGTAAAACTGGTCGGCCATTTTGGCCCCGCCCTACCCCCGGGGGGGGGGGTCATGATTTGAACAAACTTTAATCTACACTACCTGAGGATGATTCCACATGAGTTTCATCTTTCCTTGCCCAGTGGTTCTGGAGAAGAAGATTTTTAAAATTTTTCCTATATATTCCTATGTAAACTTGGGTCGACCATTTTGGCCCCACCCTAGCCCCAGGGGTCATGATTTGAACAAACTTGAATCTACACTACCTGAGGATGATTCCACATGAGTTTCATCTTTCCTGGCCCAGTGGTTCTTGAGAAGAAGATTTTTTAAAAATGCCATTAATTTTTCTCTAATTCATAATTATCTCCCCTTGGAAAAGGGCGTGGCCCTTCATTTGAACAAACTTGAATCCCCTTTACCCAAGGATGTTTTGTGGCAAGTTTGGTTGAAATTGGCCCAGCGGTTCTTGAGAAGAAGTCGAAAATGTGAAAAGTTTACGGACAGACAGACAGACGGACAGACGGACGCCGGACAAAATGTGATCAGAAAAGCTCACTTGAGCCTTCGGCTCAGGTGAGCTAATAAAATCTAATTTATTTGCTAAATGGTTATCGATATTTTTAACTATTTCTCTTTTACTTTTTCCAGTAGTATCTGTACATGCTAACGTTTTAACGATAATAGCTCATCCATATCGTAGAATCACCAACAATTTTTTTTACGCTGCGATCCTCATCTAATGCTTGATGTGTATTTAGTGCCGTCCAAGACCTGAGTAATTTCTAAGGTATCCGAAATACTAACGACTTCATAAGGAATGCAGATTTTAAGATACGAAACAGATTATTTAAAATTAAAGGAAGAATACAGCAAGGAATAAAAACGGCCTCCCTCCAAATTGCAAACATTCCGTCATTAAACCAATACAGTAAATATACATTTGAATGTGATGGCCAAATATGCATTGTACAGTATTGCCCTTTTCACATTCTCGACTACATGCATATTATGTTTTCATTGAACTAAACGTTATTTAATATAATTATTACAAGAACTGTCTTCACAAGATGGATACGTCAAACAGTGCTTACAAAAACAATTTTAAAAACAGCATAAATAGGGAAAAGGAGCAGTATTCGACTAAAACATTGAATCAGTACACACGCTTTTTTATGGGGAGCTTATTTTATTCCGTCAGGTAGTCAAAACGTTTTTCTCCACACGTTCAAACTTTGGTTAATTTTGAATGAAGGTCATTTTGATTCAATTTTTTGTTTGTTTTCAAATCAGACTGATTATAAGTTGAAAGATATTGAACATGTAAATATGTATTAAAAAAGTTTTTTTTCAGTTAAGATGAAGAAAAACATATTCTTTTGCTTTCTTATGTTTATAAAATTTTGATATCGAGGTAAATTAAATAGGAAAAATTGATGAAAGATAATATGTCTATTCCAAGAAGTTAGTTCAGTATAAGTGTACTGCTTGTATCTCCTATGGTCTCATGAGAGAATGCAACGGACATAGTAGTACCTTCGTTATCAATTTCCTCAAGGTAAATAATGACACTGAACTTGCTATCTGAAAACAAAATGGAAAACATAATCGAAGTGGACAATATCACTGGTTTGCACATTTTGAATTTCTGCCAGGCAAAGTAATTTAACGAGGTAAATTATTGACAAGCAAGTTGATGAAACAAGAATATCAACAGTCTCGTTTAAAGTCATCATTTCGTAAATTCTATGGTCGATACAATGACCTTGTCAGCAAATACAATTTATCATTGAATGAAATGCTGACTGACGTTTTTCATACCAATTGTTAGTCCATTATTTATACACTGAATTGACGACGGATTTTTTCCGTTATTTCCTGATTATGACAACGAGCACACGGCGGGTGTGACCGGTCAGCAGGGGATGCTCACTCCTCCATGGCACCTGATCCCACCTCTGATGTTTCGGAGGTCCGTGTTTGCTCTGCTCTTATTTTGTATATTGTTTAATGGACGTTGAGATTGAATACTGTTCGTTATTTCCATATCCTTCTAGAATATATTCTTACCAGATTCTTTGCATCCATGATTGAAAGACTTATTACAAGAAACATGATTATTCTGTATATGAATCTCCTCTATACACTAAGCACGTAGTTGGCACAGGGATTTCTGTTAAGAATTTTATAAATATATATCTTTATTCAATTTATATACATGTATACATATATGAAAATGAAATGAATACATGCAATTATCGATCCATGTACTCTAATTATAGTTTTAATGTATACTTTTCACTATTCCTGACCAGCTGTCTCCTATTGTATACTTTTGTCCTGGTGCAAGTTTAGTCCTTAATTCCTCAAAGGATGAACTACTCTCATTTAGTTGGACAGGACTCATACAAAACTGACAGAGTTTTCCTGAGGTACCACAGTCTTGTTAAAATACAAAGTATTAGATAAATACCCCGGTATTTTGTTTAATGAAATCATTTATCTAAAAATGAGTTGTTTGTGTATAAAGTTTTGATTTACCTGAACATGTTTCATTTTCCTCTATTCTTAGAATTTGCAAAATTACGACACCTTCAAAATATACATTAAAAGCTTTGGCAAATACTCTATTTATTCATTTATTATCAAAATTTGGCTTTGAGTTTTACATTTTTTTTATGTCACTGACGTAATAATATGTTAGTTCAATCGCTTTTATCCTTAATTAAACAAATGGAGAAAACGACATTTTAATGCAAGTCATTTCCATAAAAGTATCAATATAGTTCAAGATTAGTAAATTTTTAAATCTTAGTCCTATCGGAAAATTTTAGCGAGCGGATAAAAAGATCAGTGTGTTCCCATTTCGCCTTAATTGTGAAATACAGGTAAGAAAAAGTTAAAAAGTACTAAGGCGAAATGGGAATTTTAGTATTTGTAAATATTGTTACAAGGTTGATATAAAAATTTAAATGACAAAAACTTTTACATTGAATTTAACAATTAATGGAAATTTGTGAATACTGTGAATGAAATAATACGTGTAATATCAAAAAATACTTTATGTTAAAGATATTTAATCTTCATCACCTTAATTCACCTGAGAGCTTACTAAGGCGAAATGGGAATGCTAAATTTTACAGTTAAGGCGAGATGGGAAGAACAAACCAAAAGATCTAAGCGTAACCACAGATGTCATTTCGTTTTTTTTAAAGCAAAGTTAACGAATTTCTTTTACCCCATGTCAGTTTATATTTGGCTTTTCCCAGCCAAGTAGTATTCCTTACAATATCGTCCTCAGTCGACATTCGTTGATCTAAAATTGCGCAGATTTTCAAGGAAGTAATCCATGTGATATCAACTGAGAGTATCAATCCTGGTAGATAGCTGAAAAACACATTAAAAAAGATTTTAGTTGCACTAATAAGATACCATACACATACAAAGATACCATACACATACAAAGATTTGATAAAGATACGAAAGCTAAGATACAAAGAATTTCATGTTTTCCAATGATATTAATTATTGACATAATGTTTCCTTTCTGCAATGAAAGGTCTATTAATTAATATCAAAAATGTTTCAAAATATAAATATCATGTTTGAACGTAACCCTTTCATATTGTATCCTGTAAATTTACAACTGTTTGTTATCCTAGGATAGAATAAGATAAGATAATATTTATTTGAAGTCGGGTACATCAACAGATCAAAGAACATTAGAGCTATTTTCCGACTACTCATCACTATCATAAGAAACGAATTTTAAAAAAGCCATTAAAATTTGAATAATCTCTCCGAATATATAGTACAATGTACGAATTAAAAAAATGTTATAATAAAGAAATATCAAAATACCTGACAATTAGAAATATGTTTATTTCCATTCTGCCAAAGAACGTGATTTTTTCGGATATCCTTGCATTTATGTCAAATCTTATTTGAGGACATATTATTTATGATAATGACTTCATTCGGGAAATAAATAGCAAGGCTAAAATTTCGAAGCTTTTCAATACGCTGGCTTACCAATTATGGTATAAAATCTTAAAATGCGCTTGCGTATGAGTTTTGTGTGGTGCGCTTGTAGACTGAAGTAAGTTTAACTTATCATACCAGCCTCTGCATATTTGGTAGGCAAGGAGAGTCTGTGTCATTCATAATGTTCCATTATTCAAGACATTCTGTATTCTCCATCTCTCATACAAATCATTGTCTAACGTCATGGCACCAGACAGTACTTGATATAGCCAACGCTTGTTGGTCAACTCGATCAATAGAATTCTTGTGAGATCATAATCTTGGAAACTTCATACTATCTTAACTATCAATTGGGGAACATAATGAAGAGAGGAGGAAACATGCTTAACACCCTAACAAGCCAGAGCATTAGAGCTGATGTCATTATCATCACATTTTACATTACAGTAAACACAACATTTGGCCATTCTTGAATGCATCATTTATGGTAAGCTATACAGAAGGATTCATGCTGGTCAGGTAAACACCCGCTGATTCCTTTTATCAATTAACTAATTGATGTTTATTTTCGATGCATACTAATTTAAATTCATAATTTTGATAAAACTTTACAAATTTTCAGAAGTTACCCTGGACTTAATCTAGAAATAACCGGTAGGGGGTATTGGAGTGTTGTTTGAGAGTAATCTATTTCGCCATAATGTGTAATTTTTGTGCATGTACACTGTCAAGCAAAACAAACATTAATACCTGTTTGGGGAGAAGCCATTCTTAATCTCTCTTCAGTGTTTTAAGAACAACATTTTTGTCTGGTATTTTCTATATGTTTTAAGTTTGGCATAGGAATTTGCATACTATATACAGGGTTATTTTCACCCCGTCTTATTTTCGCCCTTTCACACTTGCCAACAATTTTGGCCCGTTTAAAATTCGCCCAATCATAGTTTTGTTTAAGAAATAATACTGAATTCTTTGAATTCGCCCCGTTTTAAATTCGCCCAAATGAGAGTAGGCGAAAATAAAACGGGGGCGAAAATTTCCCTGTATACAGTAATATGGCCTTTAAAGTCAAAGAAAATAACATAAAACTTTCATCATGGTTCGTAATCTGTTAATTAAAACTTAGACCTTTTGCATTCTTTGATGCTAACATTCTCTTAAATTTTGACTCAAAACACCTAAAACTATTTCGTATTGTTTAATGGACTTTTTATCTTGAAAACTGTTCGTTATCCCTATATGTTTCATCGGAAGACCAGGTCTCCAAAAAGCACGTAGATATTGGCAATTAGAAACGCAAGCACATTTTTGATGACAACTTCAGAGTACTTATGTGTACATGTAGAATGTTTTTAACAAAATAATTTTTGATATTGCCAAGGTTAGTAAATTAATGATTTCCATTTTTATCGAAAAAGCAGCTTTCAATGATATCAAAAAGCTTTGATTTGGGAAATTGTCGTGTATAAAAATACGAAAAAATATGCTTTCTAGTTACATATTTTACAGTTTTCACTCATTTCTAAGACCTCAAGTATACTTCTGATGTTTTTTTTAGTAAAACTGGGTCTATAAAATAAAATAAACTAAAATATTTAATTCAAACGCTCATATCAAATTTGTTTCCTGTAAATAATCTGGAAATTTATATCGAAAGAGCTGACAGGTGTTTTGCTAACAAATTGTTAGGGTATTATTCACACACTGATTGTCTGAAAATTTTTATCGTTCTTCTCGTTCCAGTTTCAAACAGCACACGGCGTATGATACGGTCGAAAGGGGATGTTTAATTCTTCATGGCACTTGATCTCTCCTTTGATGTTTACTGAGGTCCAACTTTTGTTTAAAAGGACTTTTTCGTGTATTTTAGATAAAAAAAAAAAAAAATTAGGGTTCTAATGATAAAAACGTCTGAACAAAACATTTTATTCCCCCTTTTTATATACATGTAATATTAATTTAAGATATTTGAAAAAGTCCGTTACAATTTTGTTTTTAAAGAGACATTATTCATGTTGGCCACCAATATTGCTGTTGCTTCATCCACCCGCTTATTAGCTTCTTCTCTTGAAAGATTTCCTAAATTCATGGTTTTCTCTGGGTTTATGGAGACGTTACAATAGTCGTCACTTTGATAAGATTTCCTGCTTTTTCTCTTATCGGTGGTGGTTGCTACTTTCTTAACCTTTTGACATTTTTTCTTACCCTTACTAACTTTTTCTTTACTATTCTTATCATTTTCCTTCGAATGATCACATCTACTCTCATTTCCACTTGCGTTTTTTGTTTTTGAGGAAGCTCTTTCATTTCCTCCACATACCTCTTCATGAGATATCGTTCCTCTCATTTGACCTGACGAGACGTCGTTTCTTTCGGATTTGTTGTCAGTGTTTCTGTCTTCACTCTCTTCATCTGTGTACAATACAGGCGCACAAAGAACATTTTTATTTGTTTCCGAGGAATATGTTCTTTCTTTTTGGCAACCCCCTGCTGAAGATCCCTTTTCACGCTGCTGAATATCATTTGTTTTACATTTAAAATCATTACCTTTATCAACATATCTTTCTGATTTGTGATCGGTCTTAGGTATTATGACCGTACTTTTTTCATGCTTTGCCATTTTTGGTTCGTGAACTTGTAAACTTTTATTATCATTTTTACTCAAAATCTCCTCGGGTTCACCATTTTTCTGTATGCTTTCATTCAGTAGTTCATCATCATCTACAGTTGTGTCTAGATCATCCAGCTTCTGTTTGCTATATATCTCCTCATCCTGGCTGACCGTCACCGCTGTTTTCTTTACTTTCTCTACCTGGGTGTATTCATCTTCAGGTGATGCCAGTTTTGTCCAAGTTGTTGTCCATACGTTGTCGTAGTCACTATTATGAGACATCGGTCTGATAAAACGTTTGTTGCTTTCCTCAGAGATGCATCCCTCGTTTGAAGTGCTTAAATTTGACGCAACCTTTGCAACTGAAGCAAGATCGTAGGCGAAATCTTTTTCTTCATTATTCGTCTTGTAGATGCATGTTATTGCCTCCGAAATCGGTCTATCCTCCCTTTCATTGCAATCTTTTCTACGTATATTTATCAGCTGTCTATTGACTTGTCGTTTAACACACCTGCAATAATCGAAACTAAATATTACATTATCATAATAGCATTTAAAGTAGAAATAGTGAATTATTCATTTAAGAAATGAATTTAATTTTTGAAGATCCATGAGGTTATGAACTACGACGCTTCACGCCGGTATATTTCATACGCGTGTTAGCGCGTCACGATAAATATGCCGGTGTGAAGCGTTGTAGTTCATACACCTCATGAATCTTCAAAAATTAAATTCATTTCTGATATTTACATTATTTTTCTGATGACTTGCCATAAATTAACATCATTGAACCGCCATTTTTAAAGCAAAGCAGTGTGCACTATATTTTTGACGTCAAGTGCGGTATTATAATTATGACGTAACAACAGAGGTATTCATGCTTATTCCTGGTAGATATATTTAATGTAGTTCATGAGAAAATAAACTGCATTTTATATTGCAAAGAATCATAGGGGAAAATTATTAGAAATGTAAATATATTGTTTTAAAACAAAAACAAAGTAAAAAAATGGACCCAGCCTTCAGGGCACTGAATACAAACCAGTAAATACACGTGATATTGAGAATGATCAGCAAGACAAGCACTCCACCAACGACAGGCAGGTAGGTGGCGCAGTTCTTCAGAAGATAGAGCCATAAACATTCCAGTGCTGTAAAATATAGCATTCAGTAATTAAATTACAGTTCAAAACGTATTATAGTATAAGGATGGATTGTACATAAAAATTAAAAAGTCAAACATGTCCTTTTTCTCATAGATTCTTTACTTCTACTTTACGCTTTATATAACAATCACTTAATGTTTTCTATACTCTTAATGAGCAATTTTAATTTAACAATTAATTCTGATTATCTTTATACTTATAAATTCACTTTCTTCATACAAAAGAAAATTAGTATTTAATTTCCAAGAAGGAATAAAATCATGACAAGGAACACATGGCGGATATGACCGGTTGGCAGGGGATGCTCACTCCTCCATGGCACCTGATCCCACATCCGATGTTTTGGAGGTCCGTGTTTGCTTTGCTCCTATTTTGTATTGTTTTATGGACTTTTAATTTTGAATTACTGTTCGTTATCTTTGTCTTACATTACATTTGATTTAAAGCAATTGAAAAATAATCTTTTTTTCAGTTTTAAAAAGCACACTTTGTTAATGCTACGTTCAATTTTTGTCACTGATGATATGCTTAGAAATCATCATTTATACGTCAAAAAATATATTCTTATTTTACCCCGTAGCTTCTCACATTTTTCATGGATATTTGCAGTAGTGGTGTCATTCATACTGCCTTCCTCTAGTTGATTTGTCACTGTCGTACTCCTTCAAATTTTGTATCTACAGATCTTTATCTAAGAGGACAGCTGAGAAAAGGGAAAAAATCATATTGATCAGACAGAACTAGGATAAACCCTTTAAATTGGAATTAAATACATATCTGAACATTACTTTACAAACTCAGTTTCACATATTAATTTTTTTCAGGAGGGGATGGGAGTATTTTTGTTGTTATGACGATTTATATTGTGAACTTTAAAAGATATTTTTCTAAAAGCTGAATACTTTTCTTCCTACTTTAATAGTAAGTTGAAAGTATGACTGAAACAAACTGTCAAATTGCTCAACTGTCAAAGCAAGTAATTTCAATTTATCACTAAGAGCTAATAACAATCCCCTTAAACACACCAGGTGGGAAGTTGTAATATGTATGGAGAGAAAAAAAATAAAGAAAATAATAACATACCTGCCAATTAATCAACTGTCTGTCTATTGAATGTACATCATTTGTTTCCCAAAGATTTTTTAAACATCATTAAAATTTTTTGAGAACAGAAAATATTTAACTTACGTATTCAATGCAGCCTTTCAAATCCAGGAAAATGAAACTCAGAAAGGCATAAAAGTGCAGGATGTTTAGAATTTTGAACTTTGAGTCATGCAAGGAAGTTGTTTGTTATTAAAAAGTCTGCAAATTTATCAAAATAATTTTTTTATAGTGTACAATGTCACATGTTTCAATCGAAATAAAGATATTTTGTGATGTAGGTGATATTCCTAATTCAAGCAATTACAGAAACTTTAAAATGCTTTAGATTTCTACCTTAGGTAGACGTAACAGAAAATAATGTGACAGACCATTTTAGAACTTGTATCAGTGAAATATATTGCGATATATTGCAATAGGAAACAGTACTCAAGCCCAAAAGCAACCAAGCTTTATTATAAACGTGATGACCTTAACTTTGAAATCGTCATCTTCCTTTATTTATGCAGTTATATACCTTCATCACCTACATATGGAGTTTGTATATCTCAATTGATTCGATATGCAAGGGCATGTTCTACGTAAGAACATTTTCTAAAACGAGGTAAATTATTGACAAACAAGTTGATGAAACAAAAATATCATGAGTCTCGTTTTTAGTCATCATTTCGCAAGTTCTAGTTCGATACAATGACCTTGTCAGTAACTACAAATTAATATTGAGTCAAATGCTCATTGACGTTTTTATACTATTTGTTAGGCCTTAATTACACAATGAATGACGACGGATTTTTCAATTATTTCCCGATCATGACAAGGAGTAGACGGCGGGTGTGACTGGTTGGCAGGAGCTGCTTACTCCTCTATGGCACTTGATCCCACCTCTTATGTTTTAGAGGTCCGTATTTACTCTGCTACTATTTTGTATTGTTTGATGGACTTTTCAGTTTCGTAGATATTGTCATTCAGAAACCTAAGCATGTTTAAATGAACAATTTCGTATTACGTGAGTTAATAATAAAAATGTTTTACGGAATGAAAGATTCACTCCACCATTGATAAAATAGCTGTTTTTTATTTCAAAATGCCTATACTTTGGTTTTTTGTGTATAATTGTTGTGAACGTGTGAAAAATGCTCGATTTGAAAATTTGGACCTTAGCAAAACTCGTGATTTCAATTTGTTAAAAACGTTTTGGTGGAGTTTCAAAGCATCCACATCTGTTTGGTACTACTTCCTGAAATATTCCTGCATGTTTGAATGTTGACAGTTTAATAAGATAAAGATATAGACTGGTATGATTAATATTGCTATTCGTTAAGATCAAAAATAGACTTAATTGAAACACGTAGAGTATTAGGAAGTCCAGCCTTTTACTGTACCTGTTCGTACACACACAGTCTATTTTTATGCCACTTAATATAGCATTTGTACCCTAAATATGCCCACGATATATTTCTGTTAAATATAAATCATATATCCTTTCCTTCCTTGTTTGACTTCTATACCGGTTTTCAGAGTTGTGTTATACATCAAGATCACAGATTTACATTTATACATGATAGTACCATTTGTTTATATATATATACATATATTTGTTTGTAAATTATTATTTTTGTTTGCATGGATATGTGTAACAATAAGTGTATGTTTATAATATATACTATACATACATATATTTGTATATAAATTATTATTTTTGTATGCATTGATTTGTGTAACAGTAAGTGTATGTTTGTGTATGTGGGTATGCATATGTCAAATATCTATTGAACTAACTCCAAGAGATTAGCTTGCATTAAATTTATAATTATATGCTAAGTACTTATTAATTGAAATTACTATTTCTGTTAATACTTAAATGATTTTTTTTTGAATGACCGTCTTCAATACTTAGGGTACAGGTTTGCCAGACTGGCTGTGTAGAGGTATCATCCCCTGGTGCCCTTTGTATTCAAGATGCACTAGTTTTATATTAGAGTACTGCCATTACTACAAGATTTTTTTTTTTTTAATTTACCTTATATGTATCATTTTTATTTAATTGTGTTTTCTTTTATCATTCTATGGTTTCTATGCTTTTGATCCAGTGTGGTGATGCACTTCTCAATGTCAAACTTAATCACTAGTGTTGTGAGATTTATTGTATTTGTATTGTTTCATCTTGTATATTATTAGTAACATTATGTTTCTTGAACATTCCAGAGTGGTCAATATGTTCGGTCATTTTTTCTAGAACATTCTTGAATTTTGTGTATGTCCAGAACTTTTCAGTAATATCATGTATTTACAATTTCTAGAATATTCTAGATTTATATTACTGTACAAATACCCTGTCAATTCGATGCATAGGGATACTTTGTCGTATAAGCACTATTGAGATATAAATGGGATATATTTTCACTGGGACATTGTGTGCAGCAACGGACACTCTGATGTATGTATTTTTAGATTCTTGCTAAGTTTGTACTTTATGTTTGATATATTTATTATATATTACTGTAAATAAATTATTGTTAAGTTTAAATTGTGTTATTGATCTTTGCTGGCATTTCGGGTAATTCTGACCCATAACAGAATTGGGGGCTCGTCCGGGATAAAGAATTTCTTGCACTTTTGCAGTTTATTGTCAGAATTTTGTTAATTGAACCGTTAAATTTGATTATAAGCCAGCAGAAATCAACATGGTGTTTTCGGTCACAGACTTTCTTAGTTCACCAAGTGTTCAGGTTTTTGATACGTTAAAAAAGGATGACTTGATCGCATTAGGTTTGCATTTTGGGTTAGATGTTAAATCCTCTCAGAAAAAGCAAGACATTAGAATTAAGGTTGCAAACAAACTAGTAGAAGAAAACATCTTTGAAAAATACGATCTTCCAGAATATACAGTTAAATCAGAGTTAGGCTCTTATAAAATGGCAGAATATCAGTTTCAATTAGAGTTAGAGAAAATGCGATTTGAAAGAGAAAAATTAGAAAGAGAAAGAGAAGAAAGAGAGAGTGAACGAAAATTTGAATTAGACAAATTAGAAAGACAAGAGCGAGAAAGAGAAAGACAAGAGCGAGAAAGAGAGCGTGAAATGAACTTTGAATTAGAGAAATTAAAATTACAGAACCAACCAGAACCGTCAGTTGTCAAAACTGAATTTGACGCAGCAAAAAATATCAGATTAGTTCCAAAATTTCAAGAAAAATCTGTAGACAAATATTTTCCACAATTCGAAAAGGTAGCAGAGAATCTTAAATGGCCACGAAATGTTTGGTCAACAATGTTACAAAGTGTACTGGTTGGAAAAGCGGCTGAGGTATACTCTGCACTAGGGGTAGTTGAGAGTTCAGACTATGAGAAGGTCAAAGCAGCAATATTAAAAGCATATGAATTAGTACCTGAAGCGTATAGACAAAAGTTCAGAAAGTATAGAAAGTTTGATAATCAAACATTTGTTGAATTTTCACGAGAGAAAGAAGATTTATTCGATCACTGGTTTAGATCTAAGAAACTTGATAAAACTTTTGCTAATTTGCGCCAAGTCATCCTGGTAGAAGAGTTTAAGGAATGTGTTCCTCAAGATTTGAAAACACATTTAGAAGATAAGAATGTGAAAACTCTTGAAGAGGCAGCAGTCATATCTGATACTTATGCTCTGTCTCATAAAAAGAATTTTGTTTCAAGATCTCAGACTAGCAGTAATTCTACCAATTCAGACACATATAAAAAGAGTGGTTCAGGGTCTCAGTCTTTCACAAGTTCCCAGTCTCCATCCCAAGGTGGTTTTAAGTCCGGTTCAGGACGTGTTGAAGGATCGTCTGGAATAGGGTCGCTTCCTACTTGTAGTTATTGTAAGAAAAAGGGTCATCTGATCAGTGAATGCTTTAAACTTAAGAGAAAAAATGATTTTGATAAAACTCAACCACATGCTTGTGCGGCAGTTAGAGGTGATAGAGAAGCCTTAGTTTCGATTTGTTCTGACACTCCTGATGTCCAGGGTTCACAGTCCAGTTCTATTGATTCTATGGAGGATTATAAGCCCTTTATGTCTCAGGGATTTGTTTCACTCGGTGACTCTAGCGAAATAAAACCTGTCCAGATTTTGAGAGATACTGGTGCTGCACAGACGTTATTGTTAGAGGGCGTGCTTCCTTTGTCTGAGCAGACTTCTACTGGTGGGTCAGTTTTATTACAGGGTGTGGAGCTAGGCGTCATTGATGTTCCCCTGCATAGAATTAGTTTGAAGTCAGATTTAGTTACTGGACCTGTTATCGTAGGTGTTCGACCTACTCTTCCCGTTCCAGGCATTTCTTTGTTGTTAGGCAACGATCTGGCTGGTGGAAAAGTTGTACCAGATCCTATAGTTTGTGAGAAGATCACTCCAGATGTCATGTATAATGATGAAGATGATGACATTTATCCAGCCTGTGCTGTTACTAGAGCGATGGCCAGAAGACGAGAAATGCTGGCAGACCATACTCAAGCCTTTGACGAGACGAATTCCTCTGTTGATATTGATTTGAATGACACTT